GGCAGTGACAGTGGCAGGGAGGAAAACCCACAGTCCCCTGAAGCCTGTGTCTCCTGTCCTGGGGTCTGTGGTCCAGGACGAGGTCCTGGATGAGGACCTGGGAGAAGAGTTGGCAACCCAGTGGATCACGCATAAGCCCTGTTGCTTTGAGTTTCATTTTCCATTTGCTCCACCTGAGAATGAAGCCCTCACTCTGCAGTGTCTCCCAGTCCCTGACCTTGGCACTGATGTCTCTAAGAAGAAAAAGTTCTTCTGAGACTTCAGGGTGGATTAAGACCTTTCTTCCCCACTCCAGCCCCAATGATCTCCGGGACCCCCGTCCCATCACCCATGCCCGTCCTGTGTTGCTGCTCCTCTTTCTCGTTTCTGGAGACACCCCAGTGGCTCTCCTGGCTTGACCACCTATGTCTATTTCCAGCCTGGCCCCTCCCCTGAATTCCAAGCCTGGGCACCTCAGCATGTGCCAGGGCACTTGTCATATCAAAACAAACCCACCACCGTGCCTCAGACTGGCCTCTTCTCTGTTCCCTGGCTCAGTGAATGGCCTCATCCTCCACCTGGTCACCCCATCCAGACAGCTCCAAGCTGCCCTGCGCCCTCAGCCCCAGGCCCAGTTGGTCATTCATGTGTCCAGCTGCCTACTTGACATCTCCACGTGGATGCCCAATGGCCATCTTCAGTGTGCATGTCAAAACTGGACTCCCTGCCCCCAAGCTGCTCCTCCCAGTCTGCCCAGCTCAGCAAATGGCAGCTTCCTCCTTCCAACTGCTCAGACCAAACCCTGGAGTCACCCTGTCTCCCTCCCACCCTACAAACCGATCCATCCACACAGTTCCTATTAGCTCTACTTCTGACATATATCTAGACATAATGAAATATTTATGGTGAAATGACAAGATGTTTTGGATTAGGTTCAAAATAATCCAGGGGAAGAGGAGTGGAGAGAGCAAAGGGATATAAATGGAGCAAGACTAATCCATGAGCTGGCGATGGTGGAGGCTGAGTGACCAGTGCGTGCGTCTAATGGGGAGCGCAGTGCTAGTCTCTCCACTTTTGATTTCCCACCATAAAATAGAGTTTGTATGTGTCTGTGTTACACACACTCACATACATGTATGTGTATGGGAAGAAAAGGGGAGTGAAGAGTGTGCAGAAGAGGAGGGGAGAGGAGGGAAGGAGAGGGGAGACGAAAGAGAATCCCCCCCCCAGGTCACCATTGCCCCTTGCCTCCCAGCTGGCATTCCCTCCTCCTTTTCCCATTCACAGTCTATTTTCAACACAGTCGCCAGAGTGATCCTGATAAAGCATGTCAGCCAGTGTCAGTCCTCTGCTCAGAACCCTCCAGTGATTTCCACCTCACACAGTAAGAACCAGTCTCCCAGTGGCCCTCCAGACTGAGTCCAGCTGCCCTCTGAGAGGCAGTCTGTGCCACCTCTCTGAGCTTCTGCTTCTCTCGCTCTCCCTCCCTCCACTCCAGCTGTCCAGGCCTCCTGCTCTTCCTCCTGCAAGACTACCCTGCACTTCAGGGCCTTTGCACTTTCTCTTCCTGTCCTGCAGGCTCCAGCCACAGATTTCTGCCTGGTTCTTCCCTCACTTCCTTCAGGTCTTTGCTTAAATACTTTCACTGAGGGCTTCCCCAACTACCCAATTTAAATACTCCCAGACCCTCTGCACTATCTTTTCCTATATCATGTATCATTCCCTAGCACACTATGTTTTACTTATTTAGTTTGCTGTCTGTCTCCACGCTCCACGCTGCCTCCACGCCAGCTCCAGGAGGGCAAATGTTACTATTTTGTTTATTGCTCTGACACAGGCATAGAATGATACCTGGTATATAGTGGTTAGTAAATATTAAAAGAATAGATTTGCCTCCTCACACCCCTGGAACCTGGCCTCTCCTTTCCAACAGGACTGAATTGCGTTGGCTCAGGCCTTCCCCAGCTGCCCTCCTCCCACCTCACCCTCCAC